TCATTGGCCACGGTTTCACACACCTCAGATAATGTTTGTACAAAAAAATCTACAAAGTATAAATGTGAACATTAGAAATGTAATTGAGACTAATGACTCGAATTGTCATGTTATTATTGAGTATGATGATATATTCCCGCAAAACGCCAAATTACAATCCCTCAAATTTTTAAATAACATATTATTAGATTACTTGGAGCATGCAAAAACTAAAAATATAATAGCCACAGATGCTTCCGTAAATAACCAAAAGGCAGGTGTAGGCATTGCCTCTGATTTGCTTGACTGGTCCTTTTCAGTGAGACTGCCTGATTTTACTCCAGTTTTTGAAGCGGAGCTCTTGGCGATTATTTTAGCTCTTCGAAAACTTCCATCAAATCAAAACAATGCAGTAATAATGACGGATTCTCTTTCAGTTTGTGCAGCTCTGACAGCTTCAGAGAACTCTCGAATTCTAAGCACATTCAAAACATTAGTACCGCCGCAGTTGAGACTCCTGAGATTACTATGGGTTCCGGGTCACTGTGGATTAAGATTAAATGAATTGGCCGATTCCTTAGCACGAGCCGCACTTGATGGGCCAGTTTTGTCCATACTGCCAGATGTAGAATATATCACGGCTATAAGATATCGAAAATCAGCAATCTCCACTGATACGATAGAAAAAGTAATTACATGGACAGACTATAACCACCTCATGTTTCCATGGCAACCCCACTGGAGTCAGTCCAGAAAGATCGAAGTCTTAATCGCTAAATTTCGATGTCGTGTCCCCCCACCCTAAACCTGTATCTACACAGCGCTGGTCAGACAACATCACCCCTCTGCGCATTCTGCGGAGAAATGGAATCACTAGATCATTATTTTTTGTATTGTCGCCGCTACGAGATACTTAGAAAAAGATTAATAGTTATGCCATTTCGGAAAATAGGCCTTACATTGACGGCGGAAACGGCGCTAAGCTTTGGCGCCTCAGCTTTGGGACATTGCCACAGGGATGCTTTCAATGCCGTTTGCGAGTATATTCAGGCAACCAAGCGTATACCTTTGTGATCTTCAATAAAAAAAAAATTATTTATTACTCCCAAGGGCAGAGTGAAGTAAACGCAGCTAAGTGGTAAACATAACACCTCAAATCTCAAAATTGCTCAACTTGATTTTTTTTTCGTTTGCTCTTTTTATGTTGTTTTTATTTTACACTAGTCTTATTATAATACCAATTCATTACACATAGTTAAAATGATCACGGAAAAACTGCACTACACTTTCTTGGCCAATCCCCCTGAGTGGGTATGAGCCAACCTCCCAGGGAAACAAAACAAAACTGAAGGCTGACCTACCACACAAAATTTATGATTATTTATGGCGCTGTCGGTACCCAGCAGTGTGCTTGTAGCATCCCAAAGAGTGTTTAAAAAAGGCTCTGGAAGGACGCTCTTCTAGCTTCCGGTATGACTGTGCGGCCCGTTCCACGCAGGCCTGGCGTTTTTTTTTAGCATGCTTAAAACGCGAAAAAAAATTAATGCAGATGTGCATTAAAGTCCCTCCCACGTTCCCTCACCTCCTAAGAATGATAAGCACGTGCTTTAGTAGCTATAACGAAACGCATGGCAACAAGCGCCCAGAGCATTACGGCACTACAAGGCAGTCACCGCCTCCGTCTGCTCTGAGAAATATGGCCACCGCGGCTTCACTTCGATATGTGCGGGTATGCGGGACCGCCACTCCAGAAGTTGTAGTATAACCTCGTTGGGCGTTTATGTGAAGTGTACCAGTAAGCTGCGTCTGTGAGTCCCCGGCATTCCCATATGCGTCCAATGCGCGGTGCGTTCTACAGCTCGCAGTGCCAGTTTTCTTTGTGTAGGAAAACTTCATGATCTAATTGGGGCACGTGCCTTTATGCCCGTGCACTTCGGGGAAGTCTCGAGGACATGGCAAACAGACGTGAGAACTGTGAGGAATGACGAACTCTGCAGTAATTGCTGTCATTTCGCGAGTTTCCCCGGAGCGAATCAGGAGTGGTAGGCATGAGAGTTCATGAATCGTACAATATGTGATTGAATAGCTCTGGTAGACAATGGCGTAGGGACGCGTATTTACGTACAGACCTTATCCTCATGTTGCTCATAAGTTTCGGCACGCATTTTAAGGGCACAAAATGGGTATAACAAATTGATTATCAGACGCACAAAGGCCTATATAGAAACGCGAGACAAGGATAAGGTTGATTCGTAAATACGAGCCTCTATGGCCGCAGAACCATCTGCGAAATGTAAGCCACAAGCACAAACATATACACTGCTCGCTTCATCAATGAGGCGTCATTTGCCAGCTTGTGTAACGTGACGCACAAAATTACTTTTTACTCGGTTGTTTTTCTGCGTACAGATGACGCAACAATTTTATCCCGCTATTTTGACGTTTGCAGTATCCATTGGTCTACAGCTTGGCTTGGCGTAGATGTCCTCTAGACAACTGTATTCTTAGCATTTTAGGGGCGAAGCTCCTTAGGGCGTGGGCTGTGCGTCCCCTGTAGCCTGTATGTAGCCACCTCTAGTTTAGTTCTTGCAGTGTTCACTAGATGGCGGTACCGTCTGCTGTATGTCGCCTCCTCTCGTTTAGTTCTTGTAGTGTTCACTAGATGGCGGCACCGTCTCCTGCATGTAGCCACCTCTCGTTTAGTTCTTTCAGTGCTCACTAGATGGCGGGACTTGTAGCTGATGATGAAAAGATGCAAGATGTTATAAACTAGACGGCGGTACTTGTAGTTGATGATGAAAGATGCGAGATGTTATAAAATAGGAAAGATGTCACATATGGCACGTGTCATTGGTGGAAGGCAATCGTTCGATTTAGTGCGGCGACGTACGCTAGGGGAAGCATTGTAATAAAATCGAGTAGGCAAAATGTACGGAAGATTCATGGTTTACCAGGTTTTCCTCCAGAGCTTCGCCCACTCATCATCATTCACTTCGTGGATATGGCGGCACTTTTTTATTTTCACGTCAATAAACTTCTAGTTCTACTCACATTCATGGTAGGGCGTGCGAGAAGTGCAAGAGCGTGCGAATTGAGCGGGATGTTTTTTTTTTCCCCTACCGAAAGTGCGATTTTCACGCGGCACGCAGGATCTAGGTAGGCAACGCTGGTGCTACACACGAGCCAATAGGTGGATAGCAAAACGGCGCGTTGCCTGCTACGGTACTTCCGGTTTGAGGCCTATCCCTTCGCTGCTTCAGGGTACCTGCTGCGCAATGTAATAAGGGTGGAAACACGTGTAATTCTGCGATGCTTCTGCTGCCGCTTGTTCAATGATTGTGTTTATAATTTTTTGTGAATGAATAGATGATATTTCGCGCATTTCAGAGAACGAAGCGATCGAGACGAGGACATGGGCGAAAACGAGGAACGTTGAGAGATGGGGATCAAGCACAGCTTGTGGTTATTCTTTAAAACACGCTGTAATATTTAGCAGGATCACCTCGATTTAGTATTTTCGAGCGCATACACTTACCGAGACCACTTTAAGATCACTCACACATATGTTCACATGCTGTCATATATCAACACACGTACGATGTCTACATATGTACCAGTACTTTGCGCGATCAAGTATGCCGATATACCATATTTCTATTGTATAATCTGCATCGCTAACTGTCTGTTATATTGATTGAAACAGGTGAGCGTGTAAAAAGCCCACAGAACAACACGGCCACTCAATAATGTCGTGCGACGTAAAACGATCGAAGTCGCTTTTGAAGCAACGAGTAGCATGGATGGCATCTTTGTTATGTCACACTTGCAAGGCGTGTAGTGGCGATAGGTCGTGTTATACTCCGACTCTTAACCTTAACGACTATCTTGCACAGCTGTAGGCTGAGTGCGGATAATTTCACATGCATTGAAAAACATTGTTCGAGCGTGTGAGAAACGACACTTCATTCAAAGAGATATTTAGAGAAGTAAGAAAAAAAAACAGAAAACTACGAGAACGTTTCGTTTATAGCGTTCGAAATACATTACTACGGCCACTCGCTATATCGAGCCCAGAATAGCATCTTTGCAACCAAAAAGTAAATAAATAATTTTATAGGTACGTAAGCCACATGAAAAGAAAACAAGTGAGTGGATATTTCATGATTCCATGATGTGCAGGAAATCCTTGTATGTGACAAAACATGCGCGATATAACCTTTTTCGCTCCAAAACAAGCATGTGTCCACAGGCGCGAGTCACTTCAATGAGAAAATAACCGCTCGCACAATATCTCGTAGTGATTGGATCCATTTGTTGTGCAATCATGCTGCATAGCACTCGAAAGTATTACGCAGCAGGTTGTAAGAAAATGGCACCACGAGTGCAAGGTGGAACACGCAAAAAACGCCGGCACTTGCAAGAATGCCCGCAAGGCATTACGGTGCCTTGAACCGGAAGTCGGTGCAAATGGCTGCCGTAGGCTAACATAGAGTTTCCCAAATTAACTAGAGGGCACTCCGGCGCTGTGGTCGTTCAGCGACCATGGGAATCACGGAGGAAGATGGGAATGATAAGTAGTACGCACATTTGCCTAGTCTTCGTACTTGTGGGCGGCGAATCATACTTGCGGCTTTGTTTATTGCTGGTTACGGTTTTGTTTTGAGAGAAAAAACAAACTCTTTTGAACTTAGTGACTTGATTCATAATGGTAAGCCTAAAAGAATAAGGTTGCAAAGCGCAAACGGTGAACATTTGCTAATTTATGTTTTCGTGAAAAAACAGCTCCAAGCCACACGAACACACACGGAGCCAGAAGCAGGCCATAAGTGCGAAAATTAGACAAATGCACCTCCGTGGACAAATGTGTGTACTTCCCATCGTTCCCATGCTCGCTGAAGCGCCGTGTGTTGCAACTTGCAGCTCCCTTAGACGCTAGCGACAGAGTTCCCTCTAGTGTATATTGAGAAACTCTATGGCCGTAGCCCACAATTCACTGCGTGAGCCACTATTCTCATATCCACCTATTCGCATCTCTGCCGACACGTCGTGAGGACGTCTTTCGTGAGACCACTCCGGTGCTCTAGCTTCGTCACTGCGACAGCGATCAGTCTGCGGAGTGAGATAATCTCTTTTGCACGCGGTGTTCTGCTGAGTGAACGCGCTGGTCGTTCGAAGTGTGCTTTTTGAGCGCGCGACGCTGTAACTAGCACAGAGACGCCGACACGCTGGTTTCGCTTTGGCGCTCGCTAGTGTATCGTGAAATGTTCACAAACATCGACTTCCGTGGCGTTGCGCGGGGGCCGTGCACCTACAGTAATTGCGAGTGCGACAGCTACGAGCGCTCGGATTCCTGTGACGCGAACACTTCGCAAAATGCGACGCTGCAGTGCGGATGGTGTTGCTATTGCGGACATCCGCCTGTCTCTCACAGCCGTATTGGTGAGTATAATCTGTTAATTCTGAGAGATTACCGAGCCGCAGTTCAACATTCACCGAAATCGCCGCTGCGTACGCCAATGTCGACTACGGCTATCTCATGTCACTCTGTTTAAACGGTTGTACTTGCTGTAATCGTTCAGACATCTTACGCTGCTTCTGCAAACGGTTGATTTTGCACACAGTACAACGGTTAGAAATGGTATGCACCTAGAATGATTTATTGTTTCATAATTTGCAGGTGTGGGTTTTGCTTGTGCATTTTTGTGCAGTGTTTTGCTTGTGCATTTTTGTGCAGTGTTTTGCATTTTATGTTTGCAAGCTACGACATTCTTTCATACCTTGGGTTAATGCATGCCCCTAGCAACATGACTTGCAGTACAAATTTCTTCATGTATGCTGACCTTACACAGACCTTAGATGTGCACTATTTTAACGACTTGATTAGACAGCTGTGTATTTAAAATGTTGTTGAAGTGTCAGCAGTTCAACAGTGTTCAGTTTTAGACATTTTTTTGTATATCTTTTGTCACATTCCTGCTAATATTGCTATTATTAAAGCTCAAAATGATACAGCCTTCAGGACGTCAATACAAGATGTTACAAGTTCTCTAAATAGGGCTTGTATAAGTATAAATAAGTGTCACAGAGTCTCATTTCCATGACTTTTCAATTTGTGGCTGAGGAGGGACCATAAAATGAATGTTATGTATTCTTTACGATGTCTTACCAAATTTTGGAAGCATATGCAGTGCTTTGTAAACTGTTCTGCTGTACAATGGCCTAACTCATTTTACACGAACCTTGTAGATGCCAGCTTCAAGAATGTATTGTTGCAGCCGTTCTTTCCTAGCCTATGGGCTTAATTCACTTGAGTCGTTCCTTTAGTGTAAGTTCGCTTTGAGGCACCATTAAAGATAAGACAAGGGAAAGTGTTTTTAATCCGGAAATATAGACCCCAGAAATCTTTGGTGGGATTCTTCTGGAAAGTGTAACAAATTGTTTTACAGCCTATAAGCAAGCTAACATGAGCGGTGACAGTAGAGTAACCAAAAATGTTTCTTCAGGAAGGCATGCCCTTGATCCTGAAGCAGGGGCTGGAAAGCATTTGTTTATTATTTTCAAAAGTTTGTCCTTTAAGCACAGCGAAATCAGGGGTCAGAGATAGCTCAAACAGATCCGATTCATGCAGGAAATCTAGCTTATCAAGTGGGTTGTCGACCCTGATGACATGTGGCACGGAGGTGGTGAAGCCATCTTAAATGCAAGCTTGTACAATTCCACAAAAAGCTTGTCACTTTCACATTGTGTATTATGGTTTCACACAATGACCATGATTCACCAGTGGGGTCACAATACTCTTACTGCCAGGTAGTGGTCATACATGGAGGGAGCATAACTCCGACACTCCGTAACGCAACTCCCTCTCGGCTGTTTACACCACCATAAATTTATTTACACGGAGGTATAAAAGTGCAAGTAGTATTGCGTTTCTTTTTCACGTGGCAAAGGTTGTCGGCATCTTAAAAAAAGATGCGGAAGGGGGGTGCAGTATAATTTGTGGGTGGGTTGCTAAATCACTTATTTGCACAAGACGCCCATTGAACACGATTGTATAACATCGTTTTATGCCAGGCACTCTATCATAGGCGAAACTTGTTGCATTCAGACCAAGAAAGAAGAAAGCGGTCAGGTCTGCGTGGCGAGAAAATGCTTAGCTTGGAACTGCTGCAACTAAGCACAGCTCAAGAACAAGATCGTGAAACTGTCTTGATGTAATTCAGGCACTACAACACGTCATTACTCTTTGTACTGTCCTGTTGTATTTTTTTCATGCAAACTTAATTGACCAAGACAATAGACTCAGAGTAGTCACCTCCAGGCTCGTGTCAGCAAGTGTCTCGTCATGCTGCAGCGCCCACATATTCCTCATTGTGTTAGCATATTTCGCCATTTGAACCATGTAGAGAGCCACTCCACACATATCGCATCACTTTCATAATTATATTAGTCATATTGTGAGCGCAGTCACCGACTCTTCTTTATCAATTGGACATGTCATCATCATTTGTATAATTTCCTCATCTGTAGAGATTATCATCATTGTGTGCCAGCTCGAGCTCATCTCAAATAAAGCTCTTCCTCATAAGTGGTGGACGCTGCTTCTCGATCTCCAAGTCCTCTCGCACATTACCACTGGAGCTCCGCTCGGGTCGTCGTCTACTACCACCTGCCATGGCAGTGCGAGACAATCCTGGTCCATCCAACACCACCAGCCCAGTGCAGCCTCCGCTGTCAACCCTGGCCATCCACAGCCACCTGTGTGATCTGCCAGTATTCTCGGGTCTAAAAAGGGGATGACATTGAAGAATGGCACACACTGATGATGATATCTACAGATGAGGAAATTATACAAATGATGACATGTCCAATTGATAAAGAAGAGTCTGTGAGCGCTGTCACCGACTCTTCTTTATCAATTGAACGTGTCATCATCATTTGTATAATTTCCTGATGATGATCTCTACAGATGAGTAAATTATACAAATGATGATAACACGTCCAATTCAATAAGAAGAGTCGGTGACTGCACCCACAATATATATTTTGCACACATTCAGTGCCAAGGATATCTTAGGCCTTTTTAGAGCCATTTTACATTTACCCTTTGCCACTGACCATAACATTTGTAACGCTTTTATAGTCTTGGCACTCATTGGCCATAACTGCTTCACATGCCAGTAAGCAAAATGTACCATGGTCGTCATCAAAATTATGTGCTACTTTCTTTTTTGCATGTTCAGGGAAATAGAGGCAGTTTACTTTGTTAACTAGTTGATTCTCTGTCACTCAGAACTGTACATTTCCTGTTCTTGAAGCTGTGTCAAAACTTGTGCACTGTTTTGTATTTCAAACCTGGCAAGCTTTATTCTTGTTCTGTTTGACCCAGACAACGTGGGCCACAGTCACTTCCAGCCTGCTTGCTTGGCTTTGGAAGCTGCTCCGTCACCGCCGCCTCTGCCCTTATTGATGGATGGTAAGCACTTTCAAATTAGCCATGCAGCAGTCCCCTTCTAACGGCATCCTCACAACGCTGTTTGAAAATTTTCAGGGACAGAGATTTCCGTGGAACCGCCGCTGCTGGAAGAAGACATGCAAGTCGTGGAAAATGTTAACATAAAAACAGAGCCGGAACCAGCATCCGAGGAGGGCCTGCAAGTGGGCCAAGCCTTCAGCTGGCATAGACAGCCCGTAAGCCTGCTCGTAGATGCTGCATCGAAGAAGCTGCAATTGATAGATCTTTACAGATGCTGTGCACAAGGCTATTATTAGTATTTGTATATTACGATCTGTAAAACTTGGGTACAGTCTCATTATTTTTTATGCCCGTGTTGGAATGTAGCATTGAATGAAAGCATGTTCGACACTCACCGACAATATCAAATGTGATTGGAATCTCGAAGAATGTACAATGATGAGCGGTCGTTTACTGGGAAGTGTCAGTGGAGACGGCCTTTTGAGAAGCGGGCATAATATTTGACGTGTAGCATACATATTATATGCATGATGAACGGTGACAAGTGAGCATACGCACAGGTCGATGAAAAATTGTAGCACTCACTCGGACTCTCATTGTAAATACATTTCGTGCTTAGAGCTCACTTCGACCAAGACTCGCCAAAATTTTCCGCAACCAGACTTGTGTGGACTCTGACACAAAAAAATTTTTGACAGGAAATCCCACTCGGACTCAAGCTCACCAAAATACTAATTACCTGGACTATCTGGACTCGGTCTCGTGGCTTGATTTGAGTCTGAGTGAATACGCCGACATATGGGCATATGTATAGTTTGCGCAAATGGGGATGTATACTGTTAGCAGCCTAGTAGTGTTACCTAGTCAGCTGAATAGTCGGCTGAAGCCCTCGGAAAGTACACAGAGGCAGAGCAAGAAAGTGCACATTTACTACGAGTAGTCGCAGGCTCGATAGCCAGCTGCCATGAGCACGTGCCCCCGAGCTACGTATTGTCTTCGCTGAAGCCAGAGCGATTCCGACAAGGTTTTAATAGAAAAGTACGCCGACTGCTTGGCTAGTTACTTGTATTGAAGGGACACTGAAGTCAAATAACAATTCATGTCAGAGTGAAAGCTCAATGTATGGCAACATCTAAAACGACAATATTATCAACAGTGGTGCCTTACTTACCGAGAAATTAAGGTAAATGCCCAAGAATACATGCGCTAAAGTAAGATATTTTCAAAATGATACCAATGACATCAGACAAACCGCCTACAATTAATCACTAGTAATCGATCTAGCTGCACTAATTAAAGAATATTCCGTGCATCATGAGATGCAATAAAATGCTGCTTGTTCGTTTTTATTTGATTCATGGAATAAACAACCGCCGAACGTTATTAAGGGAAATGGCACAAGTGGTTCGAAAATTGAATTTTCACGTGGTTATACGGGCAGGTCGATCACGCCATCTCGGAGCCAATGTACTCATTGTTGAAGGCAATGCCTTTTTTTTCTAGCTATGAAGCATAGAGCAAACTTAGTCATTGAATATGCAGTGGAGTCCCTTTAACAGTCTGTGAAAACTTATGAACTAGTTTCAAAAGCCTTGTTCGTACAGTCATGACAAATATGAGTGGAAACACTGAAGTCTTAATGTGGAAATATATGAGTGCACAAGGTAAAATAAAATGCACTTGAAGGAAAGACGCTCACTTACAACTGAACTTTTATGAGAAAACATTCATTGCACGAGAACACAAACGTGCAGGCGCAACCAACTATCGCTTCAAGGCTCCACCCTCTCCCCTCTTCCCCCCCAAAAAAGAAGGTATACGTTAATCTACTTCAATACCTCAAAAAAAGACACCTCTTTTTCACTTATTGCTACCGAAGGAGCACTGATACACATGCTCGCATTTGCCCTAATCTGTTCTGCTTCCATGATTTCTCTGGTCAGTTTATGTTTTGATTTGCCCAGAATTCTCGTGCTGCCAAACTGCGGATTGCACCCACAATCCCTGCAGTGCATTGACAAGTGCGCGCCACCTGCGAGAACCTTTAAGGACGTCGCATGTTCTCGGAGTCCATCATTTAAACAACGACCCGTCTGGCTGATGTACACTTTTCCGCTGCTCAAGGGGATTATGTACACAACCCCTGAATTACACAGTACAAACAGTGTGGAATGTTTTTTAGTGCAACTGCTCTTGTTCATCCTTCCACGATTTCCTATTATGGGGCACAGTTTTGCCAGTTTGCAGGGAGCCGTGAGAACAACGCGTACTCCGTGCTTGCGCCCAATCTTCATCAAGGAGTGCGAAATCTTGTGCACATAGGGCATAGCTGCAACCGTTTTTGTTGGCCTCGTTCCCACCTTGTTGGTGGTACTTAACCTCTTTAACTTTTAACATGGGACTGCCTACAGCCACAAGCAAGCTATCCGGGTAACCCGAACTGAGTAGGCGTCTTACTTAATTCCGGAAACTGCATTCCATTTTGTGTGGACATGATTTGCTGAGTGAACTAAGGCAGGAATTAGCTATCTCCCTTTTCACTAGCTTGCTGTGAGAAGAGGAGAGTCAAAGGGTAACAGGCCCTTCTTTGACCGCGGGGAAAACTCTCAGCAAACGTGACCAACTGCACTAAAATCAATGTTAAGGTCTAAAAAACTGCAAAGCATCTTTGTTCATGTGCGAATGACAATGAACTTGTGCATTGTTTGAAACAATCCAAAATGTTGGTTACTATTGAAGTAGGTGAACAGTTATCCTCTATCTTTAACATCACTAGGAAGTCGTCAACATATCTGTAGACATTAACTACAGATTGTCCCACGAGCTCATGTTGTAGCTTCCGGTCAAACTTTGCTAAGAATATTTCACAAAGCACAGGGGCCACACAGGACCCAATGCATATGCCCCTCCTTTGGACAACTGTCAAATCATCAAACTTCACAACAGTTGCACACAGGTAGCACTGAAGTAGCTCCATGAAAGAAAACTTTAAACCATTCAGTGGGACACCTTCCAAGGTCAAATCAAGAGCGGTTGTTCTCCTATCAGAGATGGGACTGGAAAGTCTTTCAAAAACCGTGAAGTCTTGCAAAGGTGACGTTCTAGAAGTATTCTTTTTAGCCAAAACACATAGTCATGTGTCCCCTACGAGCCATTGTCACTGAAAAAGGATGTTGACAGCATCTCGTGAGCTCCTACCTGCAACGGCACCTGAACCTATTGGCTCCTGATGACCCCTTTAAACTGAAGTGTTCGGACGTACTAGTGAAAGACCTGTTGTCAGACATGTGTGGTGCTAGTTATGGCTTTTCGGTTGATGCCGAAGAATTGTTTCACTCTGTCCCGCACAATGAACTGTTTATTGCTACATGGGAGGCCATTGACTTTTTCGGGGTAGTAAACTTTCAAAACAACGCACTAATGAATGTAAATAACTTCATGGAGCTACTTCAGTGCTACCTAGGTGCAACCGTTGTGAAGTTTGATGATTTGACAGTTGTCTAAAGGAAGAGCATATGCATTGGGTTCTGTGTGGCCCCTGTGCTTCGTGATATATTCTTAGCAGAGTTTAACCGGAAGCTACAACATGAGCTCATGGGACAACCTGTAGTTAATGTCTACAGATATGTTGACTACTTCCTAGTGATGTTAAACATTGAGGATAACTGTTCACCCACATCAGTAGTAAACAACATTTTGGATTGTTTTAAACAATGCACCAGTTCATTATCATTCACACATGAACAACCAGCCAGAGAGGCTTCGCAGTTTTATATCTTAATATTGATTTTAGTCAGTTGGTCACGTTTGCTGGGAGTTTTCCCCGCGGTCAAAGAAGGGCCTGTTATCCTTTGACTCTTCTTTTCTCACAGCAAGCTAGTGAAAAGGGAGAGTTAATTCCTGCCTTAGTTCACTCAGCAAATCATGTCCACACAAAATGGAATGCAGTTTCCGGAATTAAGTAAGGCGCCTACTCAGTTCGGGTTACCCGGATAGCTTGCTTGTGGCTGTAGGCAGTACCATGTTAAAAGTTAAAGAGGTTAAGTACAACCAACACGGTGGAAACGAGGCCTACAAAAACGGTTGTAGCTATGCCCTATGTGCACAAGATTTCGCACTCCTTGATGAAGATTGGGCGCAAGCACGGAGTACGCGTTGTTCTCACGGCTCCCTGCAAACTGGCAAAACTGTGCGCCATAATAGAAAATCGTGGAAGAGTGAACAAGAGCAGTTGCACTAAAAACATGCCACGCTGTTTGTACTGTGTATTTCAGGGGTTGTGTACATAATCCCTTTGAGCAGCGGAAAAGTGTACATCGGCCAGACGGGTTGTTGTTTAAATGATCGACTCCGAGAACATGCGACGCCCTTAAAGGTTCTCGCAGGTGGCGCGCACTTGTCAATGCACTGCAGGGATTGTGGGTGCAATCCGCAGTTTGGCAGCACGAGAATTCTGGGCAAATCAAAACATAAACTGACCAGAGAAATCATGGAAGCAGAACAGATTAGGGCAAATGCAAGCATGTGTATCAGTGCTCTTTCGGTAGCAATAAGTGAAAAAGAGGTGTCTTTTTTTGAGCTGTTGAAGTAGATTAACGTATATCTTCTTTTTTGGGGGGGGGGGGAGAGAAAGATGGGAGGGGGAACCTTGAAGTGATAGTTGGTTGCACGTTTGTGTTCTCGTGCAATGAATATTTTCTAATAAAAGTTCAGTTGTAAGTGAGCGTCTTTCCTGTCAAGTGCATTTCCTTCTACCTCGTGCGCTCATATATTTCTACATTATGTTTTACCAACTGGCTCAGCATTCCACTTCATTAAACACTGAAGTCGCCTCTGAAAAGCCATAGTGGCTGAGCGCAGTAGCTGCCAAATCGTTTTTAATAGAAATTTTAAGGGGAACGGTGCCTCTTGCAATCACTATTTCACATGCTTGTCAGTCCACCTTGAGTGATCACAATATAAATACGAGCTTGGTGTTCTCTTTCATGTTGCTCATGACTGCACTGTCTTTGTGCCTGCCACAACTCCTAGATATTTGCAGCAGTGCGCTTCTTGAACGACAAGTCGGTTGCGGTGGTGCCACTGGAATGGATTAAGGGTAGCCAGTGCATGTGGCCACACTTTCTGTCATCTTCAGACATCGCCGAGGCTGCCCAGCGTGCCGACAGTCCTGACTCATCTTTTATTCGCCGCAACGTCCAGGTCCTCAAACTTACATGTATGTACAGGCAAGCGTATGTACTATAATGAATATGGGCATAACAACGTAAATTAAGAATAGTGTAATGAACATTAGTACAGTTAGTGAATGTCTGCTTATAGTGAAACACTAGATGTGATGAAGTTATTTTCAAGAGGCCCTACAATCTTCTCTTTTCTACCTTCTGTAGCACTGAAGCGAAGAAGTGAAGGAAACGCCATGCTTAATTTTCATTGCTGGAGCCCTGATATGTAATTATGCGAGTATAAACACAATTTAAATGCTAGTAAAAGAGTTCATATTTCCCGAGTTCTAGGAATTTATGTACTGTATTTAATGTGGGCATAACATCGTAAATTAGCAATAGTGCAATGAACATTGATACAGCTTAGGAAAGTCCACTTATAGTGAACCACTAGGTATGATGAAGTTATTTTCAAGAGGCCTTTCCAATGTTCTCTCTTCTACCTTCTGTAGCACTGAAGCGAAGAAACGAAGGAAACGCCTTGCTTAATTTTCATTTCAGAAGTCCTGAAATGTAATTATGCGAGTATAAACACAATTTAAAATGCTAGTAAAAGAGTTTATATTTCTTGAGTTCTAGGAATTTATGTACTGTAATTAATGTGGGCATAACGTCGTAAATTAGGAATAGTGCAATGAACATTGATACAGCTTAGCAAATGTCCGCTTATAGTGAAACACTAGATATGATGAAGCTATTTTCAAGAGGCCCTGCTATGTTCTCTTTTCTACCTTCTGTAGCACTGAAGCGAAGAAGCAAAGGAAATGCCATGCTTAATTTTCATCACATAAGCCCTTATTTGTCATATGCAAATTAAACACAATTTAATATGCAAGTAGAAGAGTTAATATTCCCCGAGTTTTAGGGATTTATGCTAAGTTGTGTATTGCTGTGTTGTTAAATGCTGTGTAATAAATGTCGTACGATCTCTTTCAAACAGACACTGCCGCATGTTTACATCTGTGTTGTTGCTTTTCCTTTTCCTGTTTTTTTCTCTCGAAGCCGTAGCTTTCTTTGTTTTGTATTGTATCATACATGTTATTTGCAATTATGTAAATTGCGAATGACATATCGAACTGCTTCAGCTTTTACCCGGGTGATGTCTAGTCATGCACCTTTCAGGCCTTTCGATGAATCTCGTAAGACAGTTGTATGTTGCCTTGAATAAAGTCTGAATGAATAAATTTATTACGATGAGGTTTGGCTGGAGCCGTGTTTTCTTAATCTGTTCATTGTTTTGGTGCTAAAAGGCGCAGGTAACTTGAAATTGTTTAACACTACCTTGCAAGTGTCAAATTCACGAGGGTGTTTTCACCCTGTCAGTGCTCATGAACAGTACTTACAATGCTGTTTCTCCTGTGGGTTACATTCACTGTGCTTGCCTATACACTCAAACCTCATTACAACAGTCACATCTGCCATGAAAGTACTTTACTATATTCGAAAATTAGTTTTTAAACATATATTTTTAACTCTGCATCTAAGACAAAGCCATTCTTCACTTATGTACATCGCTATGACCGATGATTCGTTGTAACTGGTTTATTATATTGAGGTTTGAACACATTTTGTAAATGTATTATTGGGCTACTGCTTCTGCCATTTATGTTGATTTGCTATGCATCATGTAAGTTGTCAATACATGAAAGCAAATAAATTACCATGAGAGAGAGGCAAGTAAATATATTGATGAGATATTGTTTACAGTATTCTACCAGACCCGAGTTTTCATGTTCAAGTACTCTGAATACTTTTTTTGATGTTAGTTTTTCAGATTTGAGAGTTTATTTGAAATTTTTATTTGCGAAATTTATGTTCATTAAGCCTTTCGTGTCTTACATCAGTGGGCCCTGCTACCACAGAAAGACAACTGGTACTGCTTTTTCCAGTCCTTTCTCCAATTTATAATGGTGTTGATATCGTACTGCATTAGAAGAGTCAGACAAGTTGTATAATATGTAGATTTGACATAGTGAGTAGTTCCTTAAAAGAACCATTGTTGAGGCATGCTGGTACAGTTGAAACTGGTAGACGATTAGGTAGAGGCATTAGGTTAAAAATTTGTAGCAAATCACTTCATGTCATGCAGGAAAAGGGTGATCAAATTTCACCAATAGGGGGCGTAAAAGCACACACAACGTTGCAGGTCAGTGAGGGTAAAATGTCAAAGTTGTCACCCTAGTGTATACAAGAAAGGTTAATAATGCGGGAAAATACATAGTAGGTTGTGTGCACCTGAAACCGTCTTCTTTAAGTGTCAGAGTTACTGTTGTGTGGGGCATCCGCGTACTGCTAGACCCTCACAGTGTTCTTGAATCAATGGTGCAGATTCATACGACAGGGCACATACCTGGTTGCAAAGGGAAACCGAAGGCAGCCTTGAGGCATTGACTGACGAAGGTGAGTGCGCATGCCTTTTGCACGCTTATGTTAGAGTTCGGAAATGAAAGGCAAAGTGCCCTTGATGATAGTTATAGCGCGAGAACAGAGTGACAACAAAGCGACAAGAACCTAGCCCAAACCTTTACACATCTAAAGTGCCCTTCTTGCACAACACAAATACGATTATTATGTTGTAGAGCTTTACGATCTGAGAATTTCCTAATTCAAATGTGGGAGCTGAAGAGAAAAACTAGAAACTTTTAATTTTGACTATGCAGGGGTGGAACAGCTGCCCTAATGGAGCCGATTTGATGCAATTCCCCATTTTTGTGCCGAGCTGAGCCAAAATGTCCAATCAACGTCAAAGTTTTCTCAATTTCACTTATTCTAGCGAGAATGGATGCTGCGTTGGCCACCTGTAGTTTGCGTCATCAGTCAATTCAGGTGTGTACAATTTAACCCTAAACCACTGTGTAACATACATACTCATTAGGCCAGGACACTCGCAAAATGCGATTGACCAGATAAAATAACAATGCCGCGCACCCATCGGTCCGCTGCCCGCAGCTTATATCTATCGGTGGGACGACGCAACTTAGTTCGCAACACGTTGTGGGAAATATCAGTTTCATAATCGGCAAACGCGGCTATGGCATGTTTGGAATTAAATCTGGAAGCGTATACTGCTATGATTACGTTGCGGCAAACGAACTCATCGTGTGGTGAATGCCCGCGTTGCCGACGGCCATGTGTATGGTTACCATAGCAACAACACATACGATTGGCCGTGAGATCGAGCAGAGTCGCCGCCTGGTGGCAACTGGCCGAAATGGTGAAGTGTGGATTGCTCCTTGCGTCGTCTGCTAGCCAGGTCGTGCACGTACGTCATGTTTATATGTGCACGTACGTCATGCACGTTCTCAAAGTGTGGCTTGTCCGGTCATGTCAGCACGAGTGTAACTGTTTTTATGCATGCCTGAAACAACATACGAAAGCATTTGGTCTTGCTCGGCTGCTAATTGATCGTAACAATTTCGGCGAGTTCAACTTTCCAGAATGCTGTTTATTGTCGTCGTACCCTCCATTCACCGGAACAATTTCAGAGTGGGTGCCGCTTTCTGTTTCAAGCACATCGCAAATGCTCCTGGCATCCTCCCAAACATGAGTACTATTAAATGCTGCGTGAATGTAGCATTACATATAGACTCGATTGTAAAAAAGAAAAGGAAAAAAAAAAACAGGCTGGAGGCAATGCACTTGCGCGCTGTTGGTAGGTCTACACCTACGGCACTGTAGTTTATCAACCACGCGAGGGGTCTTAGTTGTGCTTATCTGGCCGTGGTACCACTATATAGAAATATTACTATCTCATAAACTGTGAGACTTTGGTACTTATACTGTACTTAAAACAGAGTTACTATGCGCAACCATTTGCTTATATTTAAGAACGCTCTAAAGAGCCCAGACTTTGAAACTTTGAAAATTAATTCAGAAGGCATGCCTTATATATAATATCGTACAATTTCACTGAAAATTTCATCTTTTTTATGATGTCTTCAGCGTTTGTGTGGCATTGTTAGTGGCTGACGAAAGGAAGTAGTAATTTCTTGTCTGGAAAAAAAAAAAACATGCTTGTTCCCATTAATCAGGGCTTTGTTGTAGCATTGTCATGCACGTAATTTGTCGATGAAAGCTTTCTGCTGAACTCTTATACAATAATTCACTGCTGCAAGAATATGTGCAAATGGTAAACGCAATGTAGCACAAAGTGCCATCAGCCAGAGCTTTTGCCATTTTTAAAAGTCACACCTGACAATGACAATCCAAAATGTTGGTTACTATTGAAGTAGGTGAACAGTTATCCTCTATCTTTAACATCACTAGGAAGTCATCAACATATCTGTAGACATTAACTACAGATTGTCCCACTAGCTCATGTTGTAGCTTCCGGTCAAACTTTGATAAGAATATTTCACTAAGCACAGGGGCCACACAGAACCCAATGCATATGCCCCTCCTTTGGACAACTGTCAAATCATCAAACTTCCTAGTGATGTTAAACATTGAGGATAACTGTTCACCCACTTTAGTAGTAAACAACATTTTGGATTGTTTTAAACAATGCACCAGTTCATTATCATTCTTTAATCATATGGTGTAGTAGCGCAAATTCACGGGGACGAAGAGGACAAGAAAACACGACACTCGCTACGAGAAAAAGAAAAGAAGGATGCATTAGTCAGTCATCGGTTTCGTTAAGTAACCGAGAAGCCAGCTACCTCGAAGGACTTAATTGAGATCAGTGTTTGCATGTGTCATACTCTTCTTTTTGTCGTTTCAAAATTTTGTTTCAAACACGTGTGAATTCCCGCAAAATTTTTTGGTTTTTTTGATTTGATGTTACCCAGGGCTGTTTTAGTTATGTCATCTAAAAGTGTCTAAGCTTAACTGCCGTGCACTATCGCTTGAGTCTGCGCAAAAGCTTCTGTTGGCAATGATTCAGTGTTCGTAGTTCTTTTCTGTGTCGCTAGGGTTGTGGGTTATATATGAAGTGCTGCTTCTGAAAACCATATGGTTAAATGATGTCTCACCAACTAGCCCAGCTCTCAACCCTACTGAACTTCATTATCATTCACACATGAACAACCAGCCAGAGAGGCTTTGCAGTTTTATATCTTAATATTGATTTTAGTGCAGTTGGTCACGTTTGCTGGGAGTTTTCCCCGCGGTCAAAGAAGGGCCTGTTACCCTTTGACTCTTCTCTTCTCACAGCAAGCTAGTGAAAAGGGAGATAGCTAATTCCTGCCTTAGTTCACTCAGCAAATCATGTCCACACAAAATGGAATGCAGTTTCCAGAATTAAGCAAGGCGCCTACTCAGTTCGGGTTACACGGATAGCTTGCTTGTGGCTGTAGGCAGTACCATGTTAGCCTACAGCCAGAGCTTTCCTGACTAGACTTATCTACTGTCCCACATTTCATAGTGAACAGAATAAGAGAAAAAAAATCATATACATATGAGGTGCGAATAGTGCTACTGAACGAATCACACAGATATGTGGGCATTTTACAATCTTTTCTTTCTCTCTTTTTGTGGTATGCACTATAGAATAAAGGAAGCCTCCTCGTTGGAAGAATGGAAAACAGGGCGACATTATTGCCCAGAGCACCTTTGCATGAACGCTTCTCTTCTCGGCCGATCCAGTTCAGTCCAGTCTCGCGCCGCGCGCTCCATGCACTGCTCCTATCATCGTCCCTCTCTTCTTCCAATATTCAACACACTCCGGGGCCCGAGGTGGCTATAGTTAAAGTGTGCGGTTTTTGTGCAGGCCACAACCGTCGAGAGTCATTCGGTATTCTTAGTTTGCATGATCGAACTATGCCATTTTTAAAAGTCACACCTGACAATGAAGAACTCTAATGCACCCATGTTCTAAGCACATGTTGGTCGTTCACGACTACTTATACCAGTTCTAGGTCAATCAGTCCGTGATAATTTAGGTTTTCTTCTGTGCCTGCTCCTCCATCCGTGCTTCTGACACTTGTGCCAAGCTCGTGTTTCTGAATGCGTCGCCTTCTCGATAAGCTTGTGCTTTTGATGATCAGTTTCTGTTGCCACAAACATCCATTATGCTGACTCTTCCACGATGTTCTCCTGCATCCCCTTTTGAAGATATTTCTCGGTTTTCTTGTCTTCGCTTGGTTCATCCTAGAAGCACCAGCATTCTCATTCTGTCGTGGTCGGGGCGGTCTCATTCGCGGCTGTGATGCTGTCTTGGCATTTTTCGCTGTCATTTTGGAGTCGCTGTGCAAGACAGAAGTGGTAGGCCTCCTGTCACGCCTTCCTTTAGGTGTGTCGCGAACAATGGACTCATGTTGCGCACCTTTCTCGCTGTCTTGTACCTCCAGTCGCAGATGGTCCAACAGCTGTTGCACTTCATCTCTGATGAACGAGTCTCGTTGGGCCTTTCTGATGAGCTCTGTCATTTGTAGTGTGGCACCATGATGTCATTGGGGATCATCTTGGTCATAATTTTTAGAAGCATCGCAGCGTCTGAAAGCTCCGATCGTCCAAGAGCCTTGAGACCTGTCACGTTTATGGTCACAGTATCTAGGAGAATTCTCACAGCAGTGACGTCAGTAGGAACATCGTACGAGGTTGAGTGTTCTCAGGTTCTCCAAGTACTTATGCTCGATGATTCTCGTATTGCCAAAGCGATTGGCCAGGATTTCGATGGCATCTGCACATGAAGAGTCTGTCACTTGAATTCCCTCGATCGTTTTGGCTGCTGGTCCAACCAAAAGGAATTGCAGGTAGTGAAATCTTTCGACGTTCGTCAGGCCGGTTATTGTATAGACGGCATATTTGAGCACGTCCCAGAATGGCTGTCACTGTAGCACTGCTCTGTTCAAGTGAACCAAGTCAAGCTTTGGTAGCTTTGACACATCACCAATGAAACGATTTCCCGAAGCCGCACCTGGAGTTGCATCATCGTTGGGTATCAGTAGGCTCCGATTCACCGCTGTTTCAGGCTGAGGCTGCTCGATGTGATACGAAAGAAGGGACAGCATTGCTGCTGCATTGTCTTCATACTTCAAGACTGATATGTAGTCCTCAGAGTGGGTGCCGCTTTCCTGTTTCAAGTACATCGCAAATGCTCTTGGCTGCCTCTCAAACATGAGGACTATTAAATGCTGCTTGCTCAACCGGGAGTCCCTCCAGTTGTTCAATGAGCACGCACGCGTAGTTCATCGTTGCAGTTCTTCAGTCGGTCGCGCTGAACTCAAAGGGCCGGGGCACTAAACTAACTCGATTCAATGAGTCGGCTTGCCTTGTTACGTAGACGAGTATGCGAAGCTCGTTGGGTCGCTCGTTTACCCTTGATTTGATACATCTTCATTGGTGTGGAAGTCCTTTCGTTGTCGGGTCGCTCGCGTCACAAATCCCGGGTTTCTCGGCACCATAAAATGTAAAAACAAGAAAACCTCCTCGTTAAAAAAATGGAAATCAGGGTGACT